TAAGCAGAGGCTGGATGGCTATCTGTCAGGAGTACTTTGATTGTGCTTTTCCTGCATGGCAGGGAGTTGGACTAGATGGTCCATGTGGTCATTTCCAACTCTATTATTCTATTATTGTAAGTGTAGTACAATACATTTTTCTTGATTACTTTTGGCCCACCTCTCTAATCTGTCAAGGTCATTTTGGATTCTGATCCTATTCTCTGGGGTATCAGCTATTCCTCCTAATTTGGTATAATCTTTAAATTTGATAAGTGTACCTTCAGTTCCATTGTCCAGGTCATTGATAACAATCTGGAATAGCACTAGCCCAGAACAGAACCCTGTGGAACCCCACTGGTCACTTTTCTTTCGGATGAGGAAAGTATTTGCACCCTTTGGGTTCAGCCAGTCAACAAATTCCCAATCCACCCAACAGTAGCATTGTCTAGCCCCCATTTTATTAGTTTTTTGTGAGAATGTCATGGGGAACATTATCAAAGGCCTTACTGAAACTAAGATATGCTATATTTACAACATCCCTTTCATCTACCAAGCTTGTAACACTATACAAAAATATTGTTTTTGAGAAATCCATGTTGACTTTTCGTGAATATAACATTCCTTTGTAAGTGCTTACAGAATGTCTGTTTAATCATCTGCTCTAGAATCATTCCTGGTATTGATATCAGGCTGACTGGGTGGAAATCGATTGGGTCCTCTCCCCTCCCCCACTTCCTTTTTTTTTTTTTTTTGAAGATAGGGACATTTGCTTTCTTCCAGCCTGCTGTTCTCCATAAATTCTCAAATATGATTGCCAGTGGTTACTTCTGTCAGTTTTTGTAATACCCTTGGATGTAGTTCATCCAGCCCTGGAGATTTGAATTGATTTAGATTAGCCAGATATTCCTGTATTGCCCCTCTACCTATTATGTGCTACATTTCCCCTACGGCATCTTCTGTTCCACCCTCTACAGAAGACGGAGGCAAATAAGGTACTGAATAATTCGACCTAGGCATCAAAACCCCATCTTCCTGCCCATACCTACATAATCCCAGGTGATTTCCCAAAGCTGCATCTTGCATTGTCACTAGTTTCCACATAGACCAAAAGGAAGGGGTAATGATCTGTGATCTTTACAAGCCTTGTTTGCCTCTCTGTTACATCTTGGATTTTTGTGCCAGGGAGATAGCATACCTCTTAAGTCATCCTGTCATGTCCGCAAAGCACTACTTCCATATCCCTCGGAAGTGAGTTCCCTACCACTACTACATGTCAAACTGTCAAGCATTTAACCAACTTATTTTGCTATTGCCATAGAAAACAGAAAATGTGATCATGATGCACAGGTAGAAAACAATTGTGTTGTTGTTTTTTAAGTGACAAGAGAGACACAAGAAACAACATAAAAATGGTTGTGTGTGAGGGCTCCAGTTAGAACTGAAGACTACTGAAGCAGAACACTTACTCTCTGCAGCCATTCTCTTGGAAGGTTTGGCAGGGGCCAGTCTATGTTCTGACTTTTCCAAGGTCCCCTTGCACATTCCCTGAGGACAGACCCTTTGGGGTGAGAAGGGCTGCATATAAATGTTGTAAATAAATAAAACAAACAAATAAATATTGCGTGCCTTTTGGTCTGCATCATCATTGATGCTGGAGAGAACTTTAAATTGATTCTCTAGCTCCAAACTTACAGAATGATTCTTGGTCCTTTTACTTCTATGTGTAACATTCCTCCAAGTGTCTATTTCCTGTGTTTGAGGAGTGACCTACTCTTCAAAGATCTCATGTGATTCTCTTGCAAGACAGTCTGCTCTACTGGCTCCAGGGCAGCCTCTTCCTTCTAGCATGTTGTAGTGTGATTGCCTGGGACTCAAAGCACTGGGCCTTCTCTTCCAAGAGGGCCACTAAATTGCACTTTCTACAAGTATAGCTATCTATATCATCTAGAAAGAACACAAACATCCCACAGCTGTTGCAAGTGGATGCATGAACTCCCTCACTATCCATCTTTAGCAAAAGTAAGTAGAAAATTAAATAAAGAATGGAACAGAAATTTGGGCCTCCTGGGCAAACCCCCCTGCTAAACAACCACGCAAACACCCCTGCTTGTCTTGTCTATTCACTTCACTGCCATCTGAGGGCCCTTCCACACAGTCATGTAGCCCAGACTATCAAGGAAATACACAATATCTGCTTTGAACTGGATTATCTGAGTCCACACTGACAAATAAGCCAGATCAATGTGAATTGTATACAGTTGTGTAGAAGGGGCCTGATTTACAATATGTAGTGTGTTTTGACTTCAGGATTTCATGATTTTGGTTTTAGCCACTTACAGTAAGGCCTGGGATATACCACAACAGAGATTCAGTGAACTACTTTGGGACTGCATTATCCATGGTGGGGAACATGTCAAATGGCCACATCTGCTTTGGAGGCAACAGAGCTTCTTTGCCAAGCAGAAGAGGGTAACTGGCAGGGCATGCCACTGCCTCACAAGACTTGAAGAAAGACGGTAAACACAAGGTGAGGTTTATCAATTTAAAATGGTGTAAGGTAGTAAAAGTGGTGGAAAATCCTGGCAGTCAGCCTCCTGTTTCTTCCTTGTGCCTCAAAGGTAGAAGCAAGTTTCTGTCAAGATCCATGGAGGCTGAGATACATGCCTGGCAGCTGTGTCTATCTACCACTACTCTAAATCGTTGTTAATAGGGATTTGAGCATGAACATTTTTGTATTTGCAGGGGTCCTGGAACCAATCCTCAATAGATACCAAGGGCTCACTGAATAATGGGATGTTGTAGTGGGAAACTGTAAATCTCCTGTAACTCACTAATTTTTAAAGTAACCTATAAGGAGATTGTTAGCCACACTTGCTACAGAATATCGAGTTTGGCACTAAAGATTTCCTTGTATATGGAGAAAGCAACACCAATCATCATAAAACCACATTTTATACCAGTCTCAGTTTTTCCACCAAAAACTGTCATAATACACACAAGGAGCATATAACACAACGACAGAGATTTTAATCTTATGAAAACTGTATGCCTCATCTTCTTTAACTCCCCATTTCTCTAAGATCAAAACAGGAACATCTTTAAATTATTCTATCAGCATGCTGAAGTTATACAATGACAACAAAGTAATGCTAATTAAGTGGCAGAAGCCATATAAAAATGAAAAACGGACAATCATATTTTTAAAAATTGTATAGAGGCTTTCTTTCTGCAATCATCTGTAAAGACTAATGCATTTATTCTCTAAGAATTTATTCAATCCATTTTAACACTTAGGCTAATTGTAATCACAGCATGTAAACACAGCAGCTTGTTCCATAGGATAATTAAATACTGTTTTCTCCTGAACCAGTTAAATGTTCTATCCACCAAGTCTTTAATTTGCAAATGTTCATCCTGATACTCCCAGCAAAAATGCACTTACTCAAGAAAATATTTCCGATTTTACGAAATCACAGTCCCTCTTTAAATCTGCCAAATTCAAGGGCCTATTTCTAAAAATTGGAGTATTCAAATGTAATTACACACAGTAGACTGTTTTTCCAACATGCTCCACCCTATTGCCATTTCACTGTAGCCCCCACATGCATCATCTCCCTATCCTTTTTGATCTTCCACCATCAGGTAGCAGTTGAGAGCTGATAACCTTATCTCTCCAACAATGTGTGCCCTTCTGTCGAATGCTCGCTTCCCCATTTTGAGAATTCTTTCTGTATACATGGTTTCTTAGAAACACACACAGACATCCTGCTGTTTGTTTTCACAACCATCTTGTAGAAGTTAGGTTGAGAATGACAGGTCTGGAGCTATTCCAGAGCTTCATGGGTGTGTTGTGGACATTCTCCCAGTCCTGCTCTGATACTCTAACCACTATACCACACTGGCTAATGACAGACAAAACTGCATGTCTTCAAGGCACATAGGAAGCTGTCACAGATTGAGTCTATGATTCTATGAGTCAGATCATTCATTCATCTGACCTAGTACTATCAACAGTGACAGACAGTAGCCCTTGAGGATTTCTCCTGCTTTACCTTGAGATGAAAACTAAATCTGGTCCCCTTGACAGAAGACACATGAGCTACAACTGAATCAGAGTTTCTGTCCAAAAGTTGCCACTAAGCTTTCCAGCACAAAAGGTACCAAAGATCACAAATATTGTTTCCCTCATCACTCAAGATCTTTTTAAAAGACTATAAAAATTGAAAAGGAAATTTTCAATACTGTGCTCGATAGGCAAAAACTTCTTTGAAGAGCACCACAAAATGATAATTTCATGGCCTAGAAGGTAGAAGAGGCAACAAGGGGGTCGGCTACTCTCGATCTCATCCTAACAAATGCAGAGGACCTGATCAATGCAGTTGACGTGGTCGGATCTTTAGGGGCAAGTGACCATGTGCTTCTGCAGTTTGAGGTATTCCTGGACGACTTGTTTCCCAATTTGGGGTGGGATGTCCTCTAATCCCTCATCCACTCCATCTTGCTGAGGTTGAAGATTGATGTTATATGATGTTATATTGATGTTTGATGTTTAATTAATTGTTATGCTATTGCTTTTAAATGTCCAATGATTTTGTACTGTGTATATTGAAACTGTTGTTAACCGCTCTGAGTCGCCTAAGGGCTGAGAAGAGCGGTATACAAATGAAGTAAATAAATAAATAAATAAATAAATAAATATAGATTTCCCTATGTTTCCCATGCACAGAAAAGTAGCCAGTTCTTGTATCAGTGAGTTTTGGAGCAGACATACCACATACTCCAACTCCCAATCTAATATGAATGGCCCTCTCCACTTTCAAATCTTGTGCTACGCAAACTTAACTCAGGAAAGAGGAACATTGACTTGTAAGCAGATACTACAGTTAGTAACTGAGTCGAGCCAAAATGTGAAGGCCACAAACTATTTCATTATTAACCCAAGAATAGACATAATTTAGGGACTGCAGTTCACAAATACCCAATATATAAGGAATGGGAAATACCAGACAAATGCTTACTTGAAATATGTATAAGTTCGACTATAGTGTCTCCTTCTCTACTTGACTCTGCTACATCACAGGTGTAGTTTCCTGGTGGGGCCTCTTCTCTTGACAGGATGAGCGAAGCAGTACCATTCGGTAGCATTGATAAATCCAATAAATTGGCAGACTGAAAAGTACTGTTTCTTGTGACTTTATTTTCAACTCCATCATAAGAAAAAAATTCACTTCCTTGTAATTTCCACTTCACAAACGTTGCGTTAGTCCTGTGCAGTATTAGATTAGTTACTCTGCAAGGTATAATGGCACTCGTGTTGCAAATGTCCAGTGTAACAGACCGAACCTTTTCAAAGTACAACTGGGCAGAACCTGAAAGAGAAAAAAGTCATTAAGTTGTGTTTGTTTTAATACATCCATACTGGTTCTATCCTGCACTTTTCAAGAATAGTTCTCGATCCAATGGGCCTGTATTCATTTAAATAGTTCTAATATTGTTCTTCAGCCAGAACAATTTCCTCTCCCTCTTGCTTCCTTTCCAGTCTCTGAAACTGTGGAAACATCAATTGAATTTATTATTCTGTTGCTTCTACTGTCTTAATGAAGATGTAGTGACTCTAGAATACCATGGGATCAGCTTTTCTCTTGATTTTTTTTGGCATGTATTTATTACAATGGGTGCCCCCGGTAGCACAGCTGAGCTGCTGAACTTGCTGAGCAGAGGGTCTGCGATTCAAATCTGGGGAGTGGGGTAAGCTCCTGCTGTTAGGCCCAGCTTCTGCCAACATAGCAGTTCAAAAACATCAAAATGTGAGTAAATAGGTTCCACTCCAGCGGGAAGGTAACGGCACTCCAGGCACCCATTCTGGCCATATGACCTTGGAGGTGTCTATGGGCAATGCAGGCTCTTCAGCTTAGAAATGGAGATGAGCACCACCTCCCAGAGTCAGACATGACTAGACTTAAAGTCAAGGGGAAACATTTACCTTCACCTTTTATTAGAATACTTTTGTGAAATTTTTATCCATCTTTTTAGGGACCTTGATCATACCAATGGGAATAATAATAATAATAACAATAACTTTATTTGTAGCCTGCCCTATCTCCCCGAAAGGAAAGTGGATTTGAATCAACAAACTTTTAAAATATCTCCAACTTCAAAATTCAACTAACTTTGCAGAAATCAGTCACATGTCTAAATATTCACCAAGAAGAAGAGGAATTATATGAACTTCCCAAGCTTCACAGAACAAAGCATCCTAGTTTATCATGTAAACCAATCTTTTGAGACCTAAACACTGTCACAAGCTTTGCCTGATTTCATAAGAAGCCAGTTACCTTGAGAAAAACTTGCTTTGGTCTCTCGTATTCAAACAACAGGAAAAACTTGGAACAGATCTAAACGATATTATTTTGGCACATTCCTCAAACTATTGAGCTCCTGAAAACAGTATCTGATTCCAAGAGTGATTGCACACACTACCATACATTTGGGTCACCAAATGTTTACAAGAACTGTTGTGGAGATGAAAACAGAAGTTACATTTTCATCCCTGAAAAGGCCACATGATCTGAGAGAGCCTTTCACTCTGGAGAGAAGAGCATCCAGTGTTGTTTCCAGGTCCCAGCATTAAAAAGAAAAGAAGGAAAACGTAGCTTTTCTTTCCCTTGAAATCCACAAAAAGAAGCCAGACCTAATTGTTACAATCCACATACAATCAGGAGCACAGGCAGTATTATAGGCGGAGGGTGGACTATTCCTTCTGTCTATATGTTGATAGGGAAACATACCAGGAAAATGGGCTGTTAGGGCTTTCTTTTCCAACCCAACCCCAAGGTAACCTTCCTCTTGGCTATAAGTCATTGAGGGGCACTGCTGCACTCATGTGTGCCAAAGTTTGGGAGCCCCACAGCTGCAGGAAAGGAGGGAAGGAGGGAAGGAAGGAAAGAAAGCCAGGGAAGGAAGGAGCAAGAGGCTGATCACACGTTGTCACAGCCATTTAGGCAGGCGCTGTCAAGGGCAAGAGCCATCGCCCAGAATGATTAACTGTGAAAAAAGAAAATGCGAGCACAGTGTGAAGAAGCCCAAACGGTGCCTGGCTCGCAGGGCAGGAAGGCGGATTCGGGGGGGGGGGGGGGGAAGGCGGGAGAAGTGTGTGCAGTGCGTGTACATGTGTCACAGAAATCACAAGAGAGAGAGAACAAACAGAAAACGCCTGCCTCTCCTGCTTGTTTTGTGTGGCAGGCAAGGCAAGCGCCAGGCTCTGTATCCACACTGACCGTTTAACGCACTTCCAAGCTAGCTGTCATGGCTAGGCAGCAAACTCCCCCCAAGGTGAACATGAGCCAACAATGTCATGCAGCAGCTAAAAAAGCCAATGGGATTTTGGCCTGCATAAATAGAAGTCTGTTGTCGAAATCCAGGGAAGTCATGCTACTCCTCTATTCTGCCTTGGTCAGACCACACCTAGAATCACACTGTGTCCAATTCTGGACACTGCAATTGAAGGGAGATGTTGACAAGGTGGAATGTGTCCAGAGAAGGATGACTAAAATGATCAAGGGTCTGGAGAACAAGCCCTATGAAGAGCAGTTTAAAGAGCTGGGCATGTTTAGCCTGCTGAGAGGAGACATGATGAGGGCCATGTATAAATATGTGAAGGGTGGAGGGAGCAGGTTTATTTTCTGCTGCCCTAGAGACTAGGATGGAAGAATGGCTTCAAACAACAGGAAAGGAAATTCCACCTGAACATGAGCGTTCTTCCTCATGCTCTCACAGTCAGCACTTCCTGTGAGAGCTGTTCAGCAGTGGAACTCTCTGCCTCAGAGTGTGGTGGGGGCTCCTTCTTTGGAGGCTTTGGATGGCTACCTGTAAATGCAAATTTGAATTCGATTTTCCTGCTTCTTGGCAGAATGATGTTGGATTGGATGGCCCACAAGGTCTCTTCCAACTCTACCACTCTATTTCTACCCCACCTTTCCTCCCCACAGGGACTGAATAATATGACATATCCCAGCGAAACACCGTTTTGAAACCGTAGTCAGTGGCCAGTGCAGAAAGGCGGCTTAAAAATTGATTCATCAGTCAGGAATACGAGGAGACTGAGAATCCAACCGGCCCGTGGCTTTCAGCGCAAGGGAGGGCGTTTGTTTGTGGGAGAAGGCGAGGGCGAGCAGTGCGCGGCGTGTCAGAGCGAAAGAGAGAGAAGAGGGGAAAGGGAGCGGGGTACCCCTCTCTTAATACAGAGCTGCTGATGCCGACTCCGAAGCGCGGCTGATGCAGGGAGAGAGCGAGAGAGCAGTGCATAGCGGGAGAGAGAGAGCCAATCCCCGAGCGAATCTCCCCCTTCTCCGCCCGAAGAAACAAACGGGGGGCGGAGGAGGAGGAGGAGGGGAACGGCAGGGACGAAGCTCGGCCCAGCTTTCGTGGCGCACTTTGGCAGGACGAGAGTCTCCCTCCCACGCGCTCAGGACAACCGCCCGCCTCGGTCCAATTAAAGAGCCGAAGGAGAGCGCGAGCCATACACAGGCGGGGGGGGGGGGGGGGGGGGGGGAGAGCGAGCCACAGAACGAAAGAGAGCGAAAGAGAGCCACATACATAGATAGAGCGTGAGCCACAGAGACAGAGTGAACCAGAGAGAGTGCGAGCCAGAGGGGGGGGGGAGAGAGAGAGCCACAGCGAGAGAGAGCCACAGAGAGCGCGCGAGCCAGAGAAAGTGTGTGTGAGAGAGGGAGAGCCACAGAGAGAGAGCCGCACAGAGACAGAGCGCGAGCCAGAGAGTGAGTGAGTGAGGGAGAGCCACATATAGAGAGCGCAAGCCACAGCAAGAGAGAGCCACAGAGAGAGTGTGAGAGAGCGCGAGCCACTGAGAGCGCAAGCCACAGCAAGAGAGAGCCACAGAGAGAGAGTGTGAGAGAGCGCGAGCCACTGAGAGCGCGAGCCGCACTCAGAGACAGAGCGCGAGTCAGAGACAGAGAGCGCGAGCCACAGGCAGGGACAGCGCTAGAGAGCGAGCGAGCGCGCACACCAGAGGGTGAATGGCGCAGCTGCTGCCTCCAGCCTCGCGCGCGCGGGGCAGCAGCAGCAGCAGCAAAGGGTCCCCCCCCCTTCCCATCCCATTCCACTCAGGCCGTTCCAAGGGACAGAAAGCGGCAAAAGGGGGCAGCAGTGAGCGAGGGAGGGAAAGGGAAGAGAACAAACCAAAGAGGTCCGTACTACTCACCGGCAGCCAAGGTGCCCAGCAGCACCCAACACACGCGCAGCACCCACATCTCCAGCGCCGGGGTGGTGGGTTGGTTGGTTGGTTTTCTCCTCGAAGAGAGAGAGAGGGAGACGGGAGGGAGGGCCAAGAGGGACAAACGGGACGAAGAGGAGGGAAAAATAATAATAATGAGAAAAAGAAAGCTCGGAGCTCTCTCTGGAGCCGCCCAACCAACCCGCAGCCTGACGACGAGCTTCCGCTTGCTCCCTCCAGCCGCAGCGAGAAGGGCGGGGCCACCACAGAGAGGGGGAGAGAGAGGGGGAGAGATGCTCTACCGCGCGGGAGGGGAGGGTAGGGGGGCGGAGGAGAGGAGGGAACAGCGGAGCTTGCCCCCCTCCCGCCGCGGTGGAGGGACCGTTGATGCTCGCGCTGGAACTCGGGCGCGCGGTTGGTTGGTTGGTTCGGTCGGTCGGTTGGTTCTTTTCCCTGGCTCGCGCTCTCTCTCAATCTCTCTCCTCAGAAGAGGCGAGGCAGGCAATGCGCAAGCCTCGGAGTTCACGCCGAGTTCTTGGCGAAAGCGAAGAGGGAGGAGCAGGGACGGTCCTGCGTCACGCCTCGCCCAGTTTGTGGATAGGAAGGCAGGCAAGCTGGCGCAGCGGACCGGCGTCGAGGTTGGTTGCCCACGCCTCACCTGAGACCTTTCCACAGGCTTGCTTTTTTTTTTACTTCGCCCCAACCTCCAGAACAGACTTGGGCCCTTCAAGTGTTTTGGACTCCAACTCCCACCATTCCTCACAGCCTAAATTCTCCCATGCTTGTTCTACACTGATTCTTAATGCAGTGGTTCTCAACCTGTCGGTCCCCAGGTGTTTTGGCCTACAACTCCCAGAAATCCCAGCCAGTTTACCAGCTCTTAGGATTTCTGGGAGTGGAAGGCCAAAACATCTGGGGACCCACAGGTTGAGAACCACTGCTTTAACGCGATTCGAAGGTAGCTCCCAACCACAGCAGCCAGATGGTTGTGTGTCATCCCCATCAGGCCATGTAAACCACTTCTTTCAATACCGGTTTGAAATTGCATTCATTATTCAGTGTTAGACGAAGCTTCAGAGAACCAACTCATTTAATATATACATGCAATAAAAGTGAAAATGTGTATGTATGTGTATGGCTGGGGTGTCCTTACACCAGTGGCAGGGCCGGCCCTAGGTAATTTTAAATGGTAAGCAAACATTATTTTGGCGCCCCCTCCCCCCAACCAATCACTGAAAAATAAAACGTAGAAGGTAGAGGTAAATAAAAGAGTTACCTTACAAACCAGAAATTTACTTACAACATTATGTTTATATAGTTACATTACACAAATTAACTTTTTTAAGAATGCAAATATTTTACTAAACTTAGCAACAATTTTAAGTTTTTGTTGTTATTTTTGGTCTACAAGTACTACACAAAGGTTTCCTGGTCATGCTGTCTCTTCAGAGAAGATTTTTCAGACTAGGGGTTTGCTAATAACAGAGAACTCAATCCCATGCTTGTTGGGTCTGTCAATCAGATTTGTTTTGGAGAACGCAGCCCCAGGAGAATAGACACCTCCTTTTGAAGAAAGTGAACTCTTGTCCTTCAAAAGTGCCATGCCAGCCTGGACCATTACAATGGGTGTGGCAACATAGCCAGCCTCTGGCCCCTTCACTTTAGTGGATACTTTGACATCCAGTTTTCCTTAACACAAATAAACTTGAACACTTTTAAAATTAAAAAGATTTTTCTGGCTTTCAATTTTGAAAACTCGTGTACTATTATATCTGTTTCCATTTCATCCAACAAGCCATTTTCAATGGCCAAGGTTGCTAGTCCGCTCAAGCGCTCTTGACTCAAAGTTGATCTTAAATACGTTTTTATAAGTTTTCTAAGATCTACAGAGACACTCGCTGGAACACCTCAGCAAGCGAGAGTCCAAAAGTGGCAGGCTCAAACCCAGCACCTCAGCCCATGGCTGATACCAGATGAGAGACTCCCCCCTGGGCACACAGAGGACTGGGCGACTTGGAAATGGAAAGGAATCACACAGGATCATATTTTTGCAGTCCATTAAGTGTGTTGATGACAAATCAGATAAAGGAATACTGGGGAAATTAATATAAAGCAGTGCGTATAAAGGGACATTACATTTGGTAATCTAATGCAGGCTTTAAAAGGTTTTAAAGATCAAGTCAGGGTCTGCTGCAGTTTTTAGTTTTGGATATGTTTTTTATGGATTTTAACTGAATTTTTAAAATACCAATGATATTTAATTCCATTTTAATGTTTGCATATTTGTGGATTTTAGACTGTACTGAAATGTTTTTAATCTAAGCCAACTTGAGTCTTCTTGGGGAGAGAAAAAGCAGGGTATAAATAAACATACTAATGTGTTGTGGAAGGCTTTCATGGCCAGAATCACTGAGTTGCTGTGAGTTTTCTGGGCTGTATGGCCATGTTCCAGAAGCATTCTCTCCTGACATTTCACCCACATCTATGGCAGGCAACCTCAGAGGAACAAAATCTGGCTACCAGTACCCTCTAAAATAACCCTCTAAAATCAGAACAATAAATAAAGAGCAACACTAAAAAAGGGGGAATTCCTGACATGAAGCAATCAGGGCCAGTTAACCGCTCCCAACAAAGGATTCCTGGGCAGCAACTAGCTCGGCTTCGAAGCTGCAAGGCCATTAAATACTCATCAAGATGACCAATTGCAACATTCACACTTACCTCAAGCAGACATGAGTTCTTTTTCCCACCCTGGACATTCCACAGATATACAAACCCCACTTGCCTAGTTACAAACAGACCTCACAGCCTCTTGAGGATGCCTGCCATAGATGTGGGTGAAACATCAGGTGAGAATGCTTCACCAAGCACCAAAGAGCATTCTGAACTCCACCAATAATAGAACTGAACCAAACTTGGCATACAGGACTTCCATGACTAACAGAAAATACTGGAGAGGGGGTTGGGAAAAATAGACCCTGACATTTGGGAATTGCAGTTTACCAAGCACAAAGAACATTCTGAGCTCCACCAACAATAGAATTGAACCAAACTTGGCATACAGGACTTCCATGACTAACAGAAAATACTGGAGAGGGGGTTGGGAAAAATAGACCCTGACATTAGGGAATTGCAGTTTACCAAGCACCAAAGAACATTCTGAGCTCCACCAACAATAGAATTGAACCAAACTTGGCATACAGGACTTCCATGACTAACAGAAAATACTGGAGAGGGGGTTGGGAAAAATAGACCCTGACATTTGGGAATTGCAGTTTACCAAGCACCAAAGAACATTCTGAGCTCCACCAACAATAGAATTGAACCAAACTTCGCATACAGGACTTCCATGACTAACAGAAAATACTGGAGAGGGGGTTGGGAAAAATAGACCCTGACATTTGGGAATTGCAGTTTACCAAGCACCAAAGGACATTCTGAGCTCCACCAACAATAGAATTGAACCAAACTTGGTATACAGGACTTCCATGACTAACAGAAAATACTGGAGAGGGGGTTGGGAAAAATAGACCCTGACATTTGGGAATTGCAGTTTACCAAGCACCAAAGAACATTCTGAGCTCCACCAACAATAGAATTGAACCAAACTTGTCATACAGGACTTCCATGACTAACAGAAAATACTGGAGAGGGTGTTGGGAAAAATAGACCCTGACATTTGGGAATTGCAGTTTACCAAGCACCAAAGAACATTCTGAGCTCCACCAACAATAGAATTGAACCAAACTTGGCATACAGGACTTCCATGACTAACAGAAAATACTGGAGAGGGGGTTGGGAAAAATAGACCCTGACATTTGGGAATTGCAGTTTACCAAGCACCAAAGAACATTCTGAGCTCCACCAACAATAGAATTGAACCAAACTTGGCATACAGGACTTCCATGACTACCAGAAAATACTGGAGAGGGGGTTGGGAAAAATAGAACCTGACATTTGGGAATTGCAGTTTACCAAGCACCAAAGAACATTCTGAGCTCCACCAACAATAGAATTGAACCAAACTTGGCATACAGGACTTCCATGACTAACAGAAAATACTGGAGAGGGGGTTGGAAAAAATAGACCCTGACATTTGGGAATTGCAGTTTACCAAGCACCAAAGGACATTCTGAGCTCCACCAACAATAGAATTGAACCAAACTTGGCATACAGGACTTCCATGACTAACAGAAAATACTGGAGAGGGGGTTGGGAAAAATAGACCCTGACATTTGGGAATTGCAGTTTACCAAGCACCAAAGAACATTCTGAGCTCCACCAACATAGAATTGAACCAAACTTGGCATACAGGACTTCCATGACTAACAGAAAATACTGGAGAGGGGGTTGGGAAAAATAGACCCTGACATTTGGGAATTGCAGTTTACCAAGCACCAAAGAACATTCTGAGCTCCACCAACAATAGAATGAACCAAACTTGGCATACAGGACTTCCATGACTAACAGAAAATACTGGAGAGGGGGTTGGAAAAAATAGACCCTGACATTTGGGAATTGCAGTTTACCAAGCACCAAAGAACATTCTGAGCTCCACCAACAATAGAATTGAACCAAACTTGGCATATAGGACTTCCATTACCAAATACTAGAGAGGTTTGGGGGAGGCATGTACAAAAGATGACATTTGCAGTACCTTTTGACGAGGCCTCCTTGCTGCCCTGAGAGGGGTCCAGGCTCAGCTGCAGGGAAGGGAAAGCGAAAGCGAAAGAGCCTGGCTGGCTGCCTCCCTCCTGGCAGCATGTGGAGGGAGGACTTCCCTCTCGCCTAGTGGGCGGGGCCTGCGCTTCTCCATTAGAAGGCTGTTGAGGGCGCATGGGGCCTCCAGGAGGAGGCGTGGCCTAAGGACAAAACAGCGCCCCCTGGCAAAAAAAGTATTCCGCCACCGCTTACTTCGAGTAATGGACGGGCCGGCCCTGACCAGTGGTTCCCAACCTGTGGTCCATGGACCAACAGTGGTCTGCACGAACTAAAACATGGTCTGTGGCCTCACTAGAATCATAGAATCAAAGAGTTGGAAGAGACCACGTGGGCCATCCAGTCCAACCCCCTGCCAAGAAGCAGGCATATTGCATTCAAATCACCCCTGACAGATGGCCATCCAGCCTCTGTTTAAAAGTTACTACACGGTTGGAACAAGAGTGATGCGTCCCATGAAACCCTCTTATAGTACCAAGGCTTGTTAAATATGGTTTTCTGTGGGCAAGCAGATGGTGACTACTGGATGGCATATGTTGTGTATCAGAAACTAGAGATGATGTAGTCTATCCAATGCAATTTTCTGAATCGGCACCCCAAATAACCAAATCTACAGTTGATTAAAAACTGATTTCTAACCCTTTTGGTACTAGTGTTGGAGAATGATCTCTGGTCAAAGTGGTCCCTGGTCAATAAAACGTTGGGAACCACTGACTTACACAGACAAGCTCCTGCCTCCACATGCAGCTATAGCTCCCACTACTCGAGAGACACCAAAGGCCCACTCTCCAATGACATTGCAGGTTATAGTGAGTTCCAT